CCACCAGGACCCTGCAGCTCCTGACCTCATTATAACCTTAGTTCAAACCTGGACAAAAGAGCTGAATTCCAGAGATGAACTGACAGTGATTGAACTTGGCGTCAATGCTGCATTTGATGATGTGTAGCATGAAGGAGTAAAAGCTGGAGTCAGTGGGCATCAGGGGGCAAACTCTTCACTAGTTGGAGACATAGGTGATAAAAAAGGAAGGTGATTGGACATCAGTCATCTCAGTGCCAGGACAGCTGCCTCACCAATGACCTTCCTTCCATCGTAAGGTCAGAAGTGGAGATGTTTGCTAATGACTGTACAATGTTTAACACCATTTGCAACTCCTCAAATATTGATGCAGTCTGTGTCTGAACACAGCGAGAGCTGAACAATATTCACATTTAGGCTGAAAAGTGGCAAGTAGCATTTGCACCCTACAAGTGTCAGGCAATGAGCATCTCCAACAAGAGAGAATCTAACCAGTCCCCTTGATATTCAATGGCATCATCCCCACTGAATCCCCTGCTGGCAACATCCTAGGGGTTATCAGTGTCCAGAAATTGAAAAGGACCAACCACATACGTGCTGTGACTACAACAGCAGGTCAGAGTTTGGGAGTCCTGCAACAAGTGTCTCACCTCCTGACTCCCCAAAGCCTGCCCATCATCTACAAGGCACAAGTCAGGAGTGTAATGGAATACTCCCCTCTTGCCTGGATGAGTGCAGCCCCAACAACACTCAAGAAGCCACCATCCAGGGCAAAGTAGCCCACTTGATTGGCATCATGTCCACATTTTCACCAATACACAGTAGCAGTAGTGTGAACCACGTACAAGAGGCAATGCAGAAATTCACCAAGGCTCCTTGAAGAGCACCTCCCAAACCCATGACCACTTCCACCTAGAAGGAAAAAGATGGTAGATATAGACAACACAGTGTGGAGCTGGAGGAACACAGCAGGTCAGGCAGCATCAGAAGAACAGGAACGTTGACATTTTGGGTCGGGACCCTTCTTCAGAAATGGGGAGGGGGAAGGGAGCTGGGAAATAAATAGCGGGAGGAGGGGTGGGGCAGGGGAAAGGTCAATGGGATGGTGATTGGTGGATGCATGTAGGGAGTGGTGCAGTTTGGTCAGTGGGATGGTGGGGTGGATAGGTAGGAGAGAGATGGACAAGTTCCTCTCTAAAGTACTCACCACCCTGATTTTGAAATATATTGTCATTCTTTTAGTATCTCTGGGTATAAATCATGAATTCACCAACACCCCTCCCCCCAGGGCATTGTGGTCTACCTACAGTAAATGGACAGTAGTTCAAGAAGACAGCTCACCACCACCTTCTCAAGAGCAACAAGGGATGATCAATAAATGCTGGCCCAACGCCATCCATGTACCATAAATGAATTTTTGAAAAATGTTTACTTTTCTGGATGGCTGGTTTACAACACAGAGCAACGCCAACAGGGTGGGTTCAATTTCTGCACCAGCTCAGATTACCATGAATCACAAAATCCCCTAATGTGTGGAAGCAGGCCATTTAACCCATTGAATCTACACTAACTGTCTGAACAGCATCCTACCCAGACCACCCTAACCCTGTAACCCTGCACTTCCCATGGCTAATCCACTTAATTTGCACATCTTTGGTGAAGGATTCTCCTTCTCAACCTCTCGCCTTGCCTGAGGTGTGGTGACCCTCAAGTTAAAACAACACCAGTCATCACTCTCAAATGAGAGAGCAGCCCCATGGTCTGGAAGGACGATGATGACTTGACCTTTTACCTCATTGTGAATCCTCCATTCATTCAGGTAGTAACTTTAGACTTGTCCTTTTGACATTCTCATTAGTTTTTGTACTCCAGCATTGTTTGCTGCTAGCCGTCATTTCCTCCGCTTTCCTATCCTTGTTTCTGTCACATTTATCACTCTATTTAGGGCCCTGTCTGCCTGCCACTGTCATATAAACTCTCCCCCACCATACTAGCGATCTCGTCCCTGCAAGGATATTGGTCCTTATCCTACTGTAGTGCAACTCATCCAACCTGAAAAGACCTCATTTCCCCCAGAATCGATCGCACACATTCATTCGGCCTACTTTCCTACTCATGATTTCACCACCACATGGCACTTGGAGTAATCCTGAGATTACTACCTTTGAGGTTTGGCTTTTTAATTTATTTCCTATCTCCCTATATTCTATTTGCAGGACCCCACCCTCTCTTTAATCTATGGACTACTACTCCTGTTCTCCCTTCACCTTCAGAATGTCCTCCAATTAATCAGTGACATCCTTAACCTTGGCACTAGGGAGGTAATCCTGGTGTCACACTTGTGACCACAGAAACATCTGTTTGTTTCCCTTATGCTAGAATCCCCTACTATTATTGCTTTTGCACTCTTTTTCTCTCCTCCAGCCATTCCTGGTGCCACGAACCTGGCTCTTGCTGCATTCCCCTGAGACACCATCTCCCCTGGCAGTATTCAAAATGAAAAACCTGTCAGAGAAAGATAGACACGGTCCTTGCAGACTGCTGCACTATCTGCCTAATGTTTTTACTCTGTCCAGTGGTTAGAGGCCCTTTCTGGCTGTGCACTCTTTACCTGTGGTGTGGCTATCTAACTGTATGTGCTATCCACAACGATCTCAGCCTGGTGGATGGTCCACAGTGATTCCTGTCGCTACTCCAGATCAGAAATGCGGATTTCCAGTAGTTGCAGTCGGACACACTTCCTGCACATATAGTCACCCTGAACATGAAGTGTTCCTGACTTCTGTCATCATACAGAGAAGCATCTGATCAGGCCAAGCTGCCTTGTCATGACTTACCCTTAAATTATTCTCTTTTCACTTACTTCCTTTCAAAAACAAATGTCAAATATATACCAGGGATCTTACCTTACTGCTTGTCAAGGAGACTTCACCTTATCTGCTCCTCTCAGTGATGCTGCCTGCCTGCCTGCCTGCCACGAGGGCTTCACTTCATCTGCTCCTTTCAGTAATGTTGGCTGCCTGCAATGGGGACTTCACCTGTTCCTCTCAATTGCAATGTAAGCTGTTGGTACACTCCAAAGTGTAGCGCTGAGGTAGCGAAAATTTCTCCAAGTGAGTTGGAGATGTTGTCAGGATGGTATGGTGAGGTTAGTGCATGTCCAATACCAATCTCCGTGGAGAGAGGATGCAATTGGTCACTGCCCATGAAGTCTGGACTGAGATAGTGGGGAATCCTGGTCAAGACGGAGGCCTAGAAGAGCAGGTGGCAAGTGGACCTGCTAGGTACCCAACTCTGACCTTCATTTGAGGAGTTGTCACCATCTAGTTTCGCTCCACTGCCTGATAAAATATCAAACTGCATATAAATGAGAGACAAAAACAGAAATTGCTGAATAAGCTCAACAGGTCTGGCAGCATCTGTGGAGAGAAATCTGAGTTAACGTTTTGGGTCCAATGACCCTTCCTCAGAACAAAATGAGGTGAGATTAGGTAGTAAAGAGAAGTCAATGCATGCAAATAGGCCTGTCACTAGTTATTAGTGAGATTTGTGTCCTCGCTGCTAAAAACTTGGGTGGAAAATTGGACAACTTTCTTGATGCCAAGAATCTCGTTTTTTTTTTCTTGCCATACTTTATCAACTGACTTGCTATTACCCATGTATTTCAGGGGCTGAAAACATTCTGTCCAATGTTTTGAGTTTAAGGTAACAGCCTGGTCTGTACTGTGACTTTAGTGAAACAAGCTGTAAGATATCAAATGTGTATTTTGTCATTACAGCAATCCCCAGTCAGTACCTCATGGCAGAGGTCACATGACTATAGCAAGCCATAAGGTACATTGACACAGACTGCATTTCTATCCCAAAGATATCTACCCTCTTCTGAATTTCCTCCACCTTCCTATTCACAGACACATTTAAAACCCCCCAGAGCTCCACTACAACGTTTTATCATTAAGGGAACTTTTCTAAAAGTTGAATCAGAGATAGTAGGAACTGCAGATGCTGGAGAATCCGAGACAACAAGGTGCAGGGCTGGATGAACACAGCAGGCCAAGCAGCATCATAGGAGCAGAGAGGCTGACGTTTCGGGCCTAGACCCTTCATCAGATGAAGGGTC